TACTGTATGCAATGTGATTTTTTGCATTAAAATAAATAAGTCAAATAATCACATTAATGTACATGTACATGTACTTTATACTGTATTTTCTCAGTAAAACTATAAAAGTAGCCTGTTCCAATGTTCATGTACATGTGTATTCATTATTTTTTCTCTCCCTTACATTTTCTGTTTCTCCTCCTCCTTCCTCCTCCTCTAGTTTGATACACTGTTGAGGTATTGCTTAAGATCTGATGATGAGTTGTTTCATGTAACCCTCTACTCATGGCTCCTCAATCGCCCTGACCCCACCATGAGGGAAAGACTCATTCAGGTATGAAGAACTGAAACTCATGGTCCCATACTTGGTACCAGAATGAAAATAACTATACCATAATTTTATTGCAAGTAAATTTCTGGAAGAGTTAAAAAAGCTTGGCAAATTTATGAACATTTACAAAATAAACACAACCTGCCATTTTGAGCTATTCTTAATATCATGTAGTTATTAAAATCATTAAATTGTAATATCCATGTACATGCATTTAAATTCACTATAGTACATGTACATTTACATGCATTTATGCCTATTCGCTAATAATTATTTCCAAATATATTTATTATTATTTTTTTATTTCTCTCTCCAGATCCAGTCTCCATTTGTTGAGGATTTCTTAAAGTACACTGCCACCCTCCAGCAGGACAACACTCCTCTGCTGGACATTCTCTGGCGTTATTATGAACGGAATAAGAACTATATTGCAGCTGCTAGGATACTGGACCAGCTCGCCAGAAAAGAAAGGTAAAGTACATTATGTACATGTACATGTACATCAATCACCTACCACAGTTACATGTATATTTAATTTGAATTAGTTTATAATGTATACATGTACATGTGTACCTTAATCTTTATATTTGTGACACTTAAGATACATTATGTCTCTCTTCTTTTATACCTTGTTCTCTCTCTCTCCCCCCCCTCTCTCTCTCTCTCTCCCTCAGTGTTGAGCTGACCCTCTCTAGAAGGCTGGAGTACATATCCAGGGCGGTGATGTGTGCTAAGAGCTGTGGGTCTGTATCCAGCGTCAGTGGAGAGGGAGAGTTCCTTCATGAACTGGAAGAGAAAATGGAGGTAAGAAAAAAAGAAAGATTACATGTACATGTACTTTAGGGTTGGTATTATTAATTGTGTTCTTAATTTTTTGTGTTTTCTAAGGGGCCCTGATTTATCTAAATATTTTACATATTAGCAAAAATAGGAAAAAAGTTGTTATTGAAATCCTCATTTAATATTGAAAGGTAGAATTTTGTGTACATGTACACATAAAGCAATAGATGGAATGAATGTTTCTTAACTGTTGCATTGCATACATGTATACATGTACAGTTGCTATAATATCATTTTCTTTGCTGGCCCTTAGGTTGCAAGAATACAGTTGTCCATATTGCAAGGTATCCAGTCCCTCCATCACTCACAGCACACTCAACAAGCTATCACTGAACTCAACTCAAAACTGATGGACGTCAGTCAGGTCAGTACATGACTACATGTACATGTATGTACACGTGTATGTACATGTAAAGTCTATTCACTTTCACCTGACCCCTGGTTTTTTTCAATTAATAAATAACTACGTCACATCTGCATTCTTTACGTATTTGTGGTTTTGGAATTGTTTTTGTTCTGCGGAAGGGATGCAGATAAGTAGCAGCTGAATTTATTCTGGCTGTTCTAGCTGCATAATTGTGGTCAAAGGTATGTCATTGAGTTTATACAGGGACATCCAAAAAAGGCTAAGGCCTTATCGTTTTGACCCGATCTTTTTATCTAAAGGACGGGAAGGACCTAGCGATTCTAATGGTACAAACAAAATTTCTAAATTCCATGTTTATCAAAAGTTATAGCAAAAAATCAATAGGTCAGGTGAAAGTGAATAGACTTTAGATTAAAGTTTAGATTTTGATGATAATGTGCTCAAACTTTCTGGATAGCATAAGTACATTAATATGTATCAAAAAATGTAATAAAAATTGGGGGTGATTTTTTTAGCCATTTTTCAAAAAACCATGGGCTATATAGTACAGGGATTTTTTCGGGAATTGGCCGATTTTAAAAATGGCCATAACTTGAAAAAATTAAGTTGGAATCAGCTCAAACTTTCTACACAGCATAAGGACATCAATGTGCATTGGAAAATGTAATAAAAATTGAGTGTGATTTTTTAGCCATTTTTTGGAAAAACCATGGGCTATAGTACAGGGATTTTTTTAGAAATTGGCATATTTTTTAAAATGGTTGTAACTTGAAAAATTTTAGTCGGAATCAGCTCAAACTTTCTACAGAGCATAAGTACATCAATATGTATCAGAAAATGTAATAAAATTGGGGATGATTTTAAAGCCTTTTTTCGGAAAAAACCATGGGCTATAATACAGTGATTTTTTCAAAAATTAACCAATTCTTAAAAATGGCCATAACTTGAAAAATTTAAATCGGAATCAGCTCAAACTTTCTACACAGCATAAGGACATCAATATGCATCGGAAAATGTAATAAAAATTGGGTGTGATTTTTTAGCCATTTTTTGGAAAAACCATGGGCTATAGTACAGGGTTTTTTTTTAGAAATTGGCATATTTTTTAAAATGGCTGTAACTTGAAAAATTTTAGTCGGAATCAGCTCAAACTTTCTACAGAGCATAAGTACATCAATATGCATCAGAAAATGTAATAAAAATTGGGGGTGATTTTTTACCATTTTTTGGAAAAAACTATGGGCTATAGTACAGGGATTTTTTCAGAAATTGGCCAATTTTTAAAATTGGCCATAACTCGAGAAATTTTAGTCAGAATCAGCTGAAATTTTCTACAAAGCATAAGGATATCAATATATATCAGAAAATATAATAAAAATTAGGGATGATTTTTTGGTCATTTTTGGAAATAACCATGGGCTATAGTACAGGGATTTTTTTAATTTGCCAATTTTTTAAATGGCTGCAACTTGAAAAATTTAAGCCGGAATCAGCTCAAACTTTCTACAGAGCATAAGTACGTCAATTTGTATCAGAAAAGTACCTAATTTATATTATTGTTCTATTTTTAGTTGTATGGTGATTTTGCTGATCCGTTCAATCTCTCAGAGTGTAAGTTGTCCATTGTTCATTGTGCCGGCCATTTTGATGTTACACTGATTGAGTCACTGTGGAGTGAAATTATAGAACAAGGTAACAATAATATACTTTATGCATCATTACTGTAGTATATGTGACCATAATTGACAAAAGGTACCTTATGGCGGGTAGTGAAATTTGTCTTTCTAGCCTAAAAAATCCAACTTCCTGAGCCCCAGTTATCATAAAATTACTCCACAGGATGCAAAAAGTTACCATGAAACTTTTAGAAACAATGATTGTCTAACAAAGCACTCACAAGTTGATATTTTCCATTATAACTATCAATTTTAAAATCCGCCATAAGGGCCCTTTTGTCAATTATGGTCACATATTGTATGTGTTATTTAATTGTAACTATTCCTACACAAAGCCAGTCTTTAGAGTTTTCTGATCCCCATAACTTATTGGCATCAATATGTATGTAAACGTTATAACACCCCCGCTAGGGATACATCGCATTTGTATGACCGAGCCTGAGGGCCGCAGGCCCGAGGGCGAGGTCATACAAATTTGATGTATCCCGCAGCGGGGGTGTTATCAACATATTTGTGTGATAATGAGTGAGCGTATTAAAGGCGCGCGCCAATGCGCATGCTCAGTAGCACTACACATCGTGGTAAAATGAAAGCACTGGAGGACAGGAGGCTCAGAAAAATGTACTTTATCAACAGATTTCGGCTTTAGGTTGACATATCTAATCTATTTTCAGGCTATAATATCTGGAAGAGTATAATCTACATGTAGATCAGAAACAGAGATCCCGTGCTTGCTAACAGGCCCGTGTATCGATCTTACCTTCCCCGGCCACTTATTTAGCCATTGAGGTTAAGACAACCGTTGATTTGAACATGGAAGGAAAGCAGTGAACTCTACCTGCATGGATTATTGATCTGTGCCTCGATCTAAAGTCGTCTGGACTCCGGAGCCTCCCTATTCCCCGTTTTTTTACCTGTCGGTCCGAGCTCCCAGGCCAATGCGCAGACTTCATTGACAGTTGAATTGAATTCCAGCTTATTTAGCTGTCCAATATGTTGCTTTGTATATTTTATTTTATAAAAAAATTTCTGTCAAAACCACAGGGATACATCACATTTGTAGCATAGGCGGTGCCTTTGATACGCCCACTCACTATTATACAACTTTAAAATGTAGTACAACTGGGTGCTATTTTTGCAGCCATTTTTTGAAAATAAAGCATGGACTATGCCCACTTCCTATTGCATGTATACTTTAAGCCTGGTTTACACTCGCCATAAAACACAACGCAAATGAATGCAAAATTTGGTCATTTTGCATCAACTTCAAAGCATTTTTTGCATCAAAAGGTCAGATTGCCCACACACTTTTTGACCATTTTGTACCTAGCTCAATGTGCTACATGTATGTAACCTGTATTTCTTCTAATGCTCACAACTCAAGATGTTATGATTTAAATTTAAGTATAAAATACTTCACTTCCCATACAGAGCTCCAGTCTACACTGGGCAATGATAGGGACACTAGAATGCAGAGCATGAGGGACAGGCTACTGAGACTTGGTAAACTGTATTCAAGAAATGACAGCTACTTTCCAACTGGTAAAGAAACTAAAAAACTTTTATAAATTATGCATCTGATTCTCTCTCTCTCTCCCTCCCTCCCTCCCTCCCTCTCTCTCTCTCTCTCTCTTTCTCCCTCTCTCTCTCTTTCTCCCTCTCTCTCTCTCTCCCTCTCTCTCTTTCCCTTAGCCTATCTTATTAAGCTGTTGGAGCAGCACTCTTGTCAGCTGGGGTGGGATCCTGGCTTCATTCCAGAC